GACCACGTGGCGAGACGGAGGGAGAGGGGCCTGCGGGGCGAGCGCGGGCTCCCCGCGCTCCACATGGAGGCCGAAGCAGGTCCTCCTCGGGCTGTTAGGTGGAAACCACCCTCCCGATCGCGTCCCTATGTATTGTGACCCCCAGGTCCCCCGGCCAGGTCACTCCTGCCGCCTGCAGTTTCTCTAACGACTCTGCCATTACTCGGGGGGACCGGACCCCAGCCTCCTACTTGGGGAGGGGCCTAGGGACGGCCGGTCCGGGAATGGACACAAAGTAGCCCTGACACGCAAAACGCTCCATTTCTTTTATTTTGAATTATTTAAACTTTATTTTATCCCATCAACAGTCTTGTTCTTTGTAACTTCAAAAGAAGCAAAAAGCAGCTGTGCGTCATCTCCATCAAGCCATGACCATCTTCACGCATCTTCTTCCCGCCTCTGTTCTGTGTCCATATAAACACGTATATATATATATGTAACGTCTTTGTTTTTAATAAAATGGGGCCGTATGATTCACACTGTGTGGAATCTGCATTTCTTCCTTAATGATATAAAGTAGACCTCTCTGGGTATCATTAACTACAGATGTCACCATCATTTTAGTGACTGTGGTGGGGCTGACCTGGGGGTGGAGAGGAATGGGCAAGTGGTGAGGGTCAGGGTTGTCTCTTTTTTTTAATATATCTCCATTGATCTCAGAGAGGGAAAGGGAGAGGGAGAGAGAGATAGAAACATCAATGATGAGTCATTGATCAGCTGCCTCCTGCACACCCTCCACTGGGGATCGAGCGTGCAACCCGGGCGTGTGCCCTGACCGGGAATCGAACCCTGATCCCCTGGATCCTAGGTCGATGCTCAACCGCTGAGCCACGCCCGGCAGGGCAGGGTTGTCTCTTGCTCTCATTACCTGTTTATCAGAAAAGATGATTTTTGCATTTCTGTGATGGAACACCAATTCTTGCCATTTCAAATAAACCATATCAAAATTTCTGCTTCTCGTTCCTGCATCTCTGCAGATTTGTCCGATTATTACTTTGGGAGAAATTACCCTCCCCCCTGAATATCAACATGCTCTTGAGAAATAGCTGTCTGCTGGCCAGCCTAGAGTGGGCTTCCGTGTAAGAGCAGAGCTGCCCCCTGGGAGTGGTGGGGGTGAGTGGGCAGGTGAGCTGTGTAGCTAGCTAGTGTGTGTGTGTGTGTGTGTGTGTTTTTTTTCAGGCTGGGGAGACAGGCAGCTGATGAAGCTGATAAGCATTAATCCGTTCGTTAGTTCTTCCAGCAGCTTTTGTGAGCCCCTTTTAAGGCTTTGTGTTAAATCAAGAGAAGCAAAGTTGTCCAGGCTTGAGGTACGCTCAGTCAGGTGAGAAAGACACCTGCCATATAGGGTGACTAGCACTGGAATAAAGATGTATTAATTTCCTGTGATGGCTACATCAAATTATCACAAATTCAGTGGCTTAAGACAGCACAAATTTGTTATCTTACAGTTTTGGAGGTCAGAAGTCCCAAATCAGTGTCACTGGGGCTAAAGTCAGGGTATCCTCAGGGCTGGTTCCTTCTGGAGGCTCTAGATGGGAATCCACTTCTTGCCTCACCCAGCTTCTAGAAGCTGCTGGCGTTCCTTGGCTCATGGCTGCATCAGTCCAGTCTTTACTTTTGCCTTCCCCTAACTGGCCTGTTACGTGTGTTATATGCTTTTAAGTCAGCGCCGACTCTGGCGACCCTATGGATGAGTGACGTCCACGACCTCCTGTCCTCAACAGCCCCACTCAGCTCCTGTGGACTCGTGCCCGTGGTTTCTTTGATGGAGTCGATCCATCTCATATTTGGTCTTCCTCTTTTCCTACCGCCTTCAATTTTTCCCAGCAGTATTATCCTTTCCAAAGAACCCTGTGTTCTCAGGACGTGCCTGAAGTAGGACAGCTTCAGTTTTGTCATTTTTGCCTCCAGCGATGTTTCAGGCTTAATTTGCTCTACAATCCACTTGTTTGTCTTTCTGGTGGTCAAGGAGATCTGTAGAGCTCTCCCCCGACACCATATTTCAAATGAATCAGATTTTTTTCTATCCGTCTCCTTCACTGTCCAACTTTCATATCAGTACATGGTAACTGGGAATATGAGGGTGTAGCTGATCTTGGCCTTGGTCTCTAATGACACGCCTTTGTTGTTGATGATATTTGCTGATTCTTCCATTGCTGTCCTTCTGAGTCTCAGCCTTTTCTTGATTTCTTAGCTGCATCTCCACTGGAATCGATGACTGAACCAAGGACTGACCCTCTGCCTCCTCCTAATGAGGACCCTTGTGATTGGGCCCACGCAAATGATCGAGGGTCATCTCCCCATCTCCACATCTCTCCCTCAATGATATCTGCAAAGTCCCTTTAACATAAGGTAACATTTATACAGGGTATGAGTGTCATAGGTTCTGGGGATTAGGAAGTGGACATCTTAGGGAGGTAGCATTGTTCAGCCGGCCATGGAAGGAATGTATAGGATGCCTTGGAAGTCTAGATGTATTAGTCAGAGTCCTTCGAGAAACAGAGTCAATAGCACGTATGTAGTGATAATAAGAGGAGATTTATTATAGAAGTTGACTCACGTGGTTATGAAGGCTGAGAAGTCTGCAAACCGGAGACCAAGAAAGGTGTTCCTGGACTTTTGGTTTGCAGAAACTGAAATCATAAATGAGTGTTGCTTTAAGCCACTAACTTTGTGAAAATTTGTTACAGAGCAATAGAAAAACTAATATATAAGTCCATTCCAGATTCAGGGATGGAGAAATAGACTCCACCTTGAGTAGGGGGAATGACAAGGTCACATTGAAAGGGGGACTCAGGGCCACTGTTGTAATAACTTACCACAACTGAGTCCCCAGTTGGGATAGAGATCATGCTCAAAGCTGTTGGGATCCTCAGGGTCAGATGCTCCCTCCGTCTGGGCACCTGCAGGATCCTGGGCACCTGCCTTAGTGCCTCCCACCAGCTGGCTCACACGGGTGCTGAGTCAATGTCTGCTGGGCAGAGGAACGAACGCACTGAAGTCTGTGCTACTGG